AGGAGACTGTCTCGTGTGTGCAAGATATTCTCTCTTTTCGTGTTGGATTGGTGCTACGAGGACGGACGGACGGACGAGCGAGCAGAGACACGCAAGGAGATCGGACTGGGAACAAAGGAGTATAGTAGCAACACGTGTGTACTACCTTGTAAATGATTGTATATAGAATTAAGTCGTTTTAGCTTAGAATTTAGAAGTAAGTTTTTTTTTTTTTTATTCACAATATCTACCTACCTTTGTAAGGCAGACCGATAATGGAATGAATTACGAATTGTTATTAAAAGCAAGTTTCATTCAAAGTGCAATTGTGCAGTCCTCATTCGTTTTTGTTTTCTTACACCCATAATCAATATATTCCGATATATCAGATTATTTACAGACTCAATACCTCATTTCATTGAGTGTTAATGAGTTGTCTGAGCTAAAAATTTCTTCATCTTGATAACCTGACACAGCATTATTTGTGATAATTTGATGTACAGAGTCTCATTTAAATTAATTTTTTTATTTCTAATACATAATAGAAATGCATTGAACTTAGTCTTACCTGCATCTCTGTGCATATTTTGAGTAAGATTCATTTGTTGGAACTGTGGTTACAAATGTGAATTTTTCAGTGTTTGACAATGGTGGCTCTTGCTAAATGAGAGTCAACTGGTAAAACTTTTCAGAAGTCTGATCCAAATATCATAATCATACCTCTGGAACAAATTTGATTTTTTGATATCTTTAAGCAGCTGATCAAGACATTGCAGAAGAATTGCTGGAATGATTGAAGCCTGATTAAAAATGAATACTTTTGTCAATAAAAGTTGATCAGCGACTTTTGATGTTGGCTTGATTGAACTGACAGTTTTCAAATAAAGGAATCGGGAATTTAAATAGACTATGACTTATACATCCACCTGGCAATAGTTGTTCAGCAATTCCTCTCCAAGTTACTGCTGAGCAATTTATTTTGTTTTTTCTGATATAGTGAAGTAGAAGGGATTGCTCTGGAAAATTTAAAAATATCACCACTATTTTTCCAGTTTTTAATTTTTTTTGCCACTTCAAATTATTTATTGCCACCAGGTAGGTTTACTTATGAATTAATGCAGGTGCCAGTAGACTTATCAGTTTGACATCTGGAAAGCAAAAGTAACATGTTAAACTGTCACTTACAAAGAGAGGGCCAGATGTTCAGGTCTCCAGTTTGAACAAAACATGGTGAGAATGTAGCCTTAAACACAAACAGTTCCTTGTCCAAACAATAGGATCTGCTTTTTGAGCATTTCTAAAAAAGAGCCTCTGAAAATTTAGTGTTTAGCTTATAAGTTTTTGGAAGTTTCATATCCAAGAGTGACAATAGCCAAGTGAATAATTTGCTAAGCACTGGAGCTAGATGATGTATGTTCAATAATTCTTCGAAATTTTAGTTTAGGCTTTTTAGGATAACAGATGGTACAAACACACTTTTAAATGTTTTTGCCAGGAAAGTTTAAGTCATTTCATTGCTGGACTTTTTTCACAATGTAGTTTATTAAATCTTATAATATAGGTGTATATAAAATACCATAAAATAGTAGATTAAGGAAGAACTGAATTGGTTCATAATAAATATAAGATATATAACACGTTGCAATTCTTTTCTTGTGGGAAGGGTTAACCCCAAAACCTTCCCCATGTGCACACTTTTGTACAGAATGAAAATAATTCATCATTTACACTTAGGTTTTTTCTTCATATAGTAGGGAAGAAAACATCATAACTGATGAATATACATGACCTTTCAGTTTATAATTTTATGTTACATTTTAATTTGATTCATTTATGTACTTTGTTATTTGTTTAATGAAAGATCATTTTTTCATTATTTTTTGCTGTTATTCATAGCAGTGAATTACTGTTAAGATTACTGTGTCAATTTACTTCCAAAAATCCAATCCATGTTGATGTTACAACTTAATCTTGACAAAATAAATTATTAGGAAAAGATATAAAATAGTTAATCTATAAAAGCAACAGAGGAAAGAAAAAAGGTCACGAAGGATTAAACCATAAGTAATCTGGCCATCTCCTTTTACTAAAGGATGATTAAAAGGATCTCTGTCACATCAGATCATTTCTAGTATTTATTCAAATAATATTCACTAACATTTTCTTCTTTACAGTAATGAAAGTGAATTTTTAAAATGTGATGAGCTGGAAGATTTTCACTCATAATATTTTTATTTGTTTGTCATAAAGATGTAATTTTTAAAATTTTCTTTTTAACACGTTAACTGCTTGTTGTAATATGATACTTTCCATCAGGGGGGGCCAAAAAATGAAAATTTGATATCTAATAATTGATTATAACGTAAATAAAAGGGTCGATGTACAACAGTCAGGAGAGCGACGATAAGAAAAATATATATAAACAAAGACCGGGGAGTCGTATGACCTTGAACCTGACACTGCTTTCTCCCAGGCAATAAATTTTACAACCCCACTGTAATTAGACGTCCTTCCCTACTTAAAAGTATTTACATTTGTGTGTTAAAGTATTTTACACTTTGTTTCAACTGCAAATGATGTTTTTTTTCTGTAAATATATATTAAAACGCACTTATATACTATATTATTTACTTTATATGCGATAAAAGAGGATAATTAAACTAATTTTCGATATTTTAAATTATTTACTATTAAAATAAACCACTATCAGATATAAAATAGAGTTTTATTTTTAAAAAAAACTACGACCGCTGACCTTGTACTGCGTCACGACGCCACACGACGCGCCGGCGGTCGTAGCTAGAACGGGTTTGCCATACGACCGCTGGCGTTCAAAGCCAACTGAATAGATGTCCACGAGAGGCCAGCACTAAGCATGCAGAAAACGTCGTACGACGCCAGGAAAATTCAACCTTGAGTAAAACTACATTGTTTACGTCTGTACGGGAATTTCCATTACGACGGCGCGCGCGTCGTATGGCGTTAAACGTGTTAAATTGATTCTTAATTAAGTTTTCTGTCAATTTTTTAAAATTTATTTTGATGTTTGATATTCTTTAACATTAATTTTCTTATGAGCATTGTTAAGGACAATATCCAATACAGAAGTCCAGTAATTTGGGAATTAGTATGCAATGCTTGGTTTGTCTTTTTTTTCTTCTATCAGCAATAACCTGTCGGCTCTAAGCAGAAAAAAGTTCACCCCTTTTATTTATTTACTTTTGTCATTGGAATCAAGGGCTTTGCCCACTTTGGTCATTTACAATTTCTGTGGCAAATATATATATATTTTTTTCACAGTTTGAACAGGAGGAGGGTGTGGCAGTCTATCCATTAACAGAACAAAATATTCCAAAATAAATAATAAAACAAAACTAAAAATAATCCCCAAAACAAACTAAAACATGTCAGAATTGACTTTACAAGTTCCAAAAAATACAGTTATGAGTGGATAGATCACAGTTTTAATTATCAGAAGAATAACACAGGTCTGCAAGTAAAGAACTGCATAGGATTTTTATACGTTTTCTTACAGATTTCAACTTGGTAAAAATGAAAAAAATACCAAAAAAATTCCATCTCGTCAATTTTTTTTTGTTACGATCAAGTTTTTGTTTGTATTTTGTGTAAAATTCCTAGTTAACTTAAAATTTAGTATTTTTTTTTTTAAATTTAAAAAATGGCCTTAAAACGAAGACTTCTCACATTAATTCTATCAATTATAGCTGGACTTGGTAATAAATAAATAAAAATGTTAATGGTTGAAGAGAGTAGTGGTAGTGGGAGGTGGGTTAAGTAGTTTTAGCGTTAGGAGGATGGTTGCATGATCATATAGAAACAAGTTAAAAGTTGATAGTGAGTAATATTAGTGGTGAGGTTGAGCGTGTTTCGACATGTTATCTGGGATACCAGGAATAAATATAAACAACCTGCTGTTGGATTAGATCATGTTTCAACAAGCTAAATAAATTCATTATCTTGCTGGCCATCTAATGCCACACTCAGTTTATATCCGGCATTCGAACGCTACTGCACTTGTATTTTTATTTCTGAAATATGGCTTGCAGAGGTTGCGTAATTTCTCGACAGCTTCTGTTATGTTTGTGGTGAGTACGCAGTGAAAAGTCAATAAAGAAACATGAGTGAGTTTGTGAAGAAAGTTTGATTTGCATATTTCAAATTGAAACTAGGAGATCAAGACAAAGCAGATTTTTTAAAACAATTGGAGAAAAGAAAAAAGAAGCATGGGACTCTTTCAAGAATGTAGTGCAAAAGTTTTTGGGGAATACTAAGGACCCTGGCTTCAAAACCATTGTACAATGCATGCTGGTAGCGTATGAAGCTCAAGGATGCAAGATGAGCTTAAAAGTGCATTTCTTACACTCCCATATCGACTATTTTCCCGAAAACTTGGGAGCTTACAATGAAGAACAGGATGAAAGATTTCACCAGGATGTCCGTGATATCGAGAGACGTTACCAAGGAAAATGGGATGTCAATATGTTAGTTGACTACTGTTAGATGTTCAATCAAGAAACCAGAGACGGAAATCGGAAACGAGTTTGGAGAAGCATAAAAAAAAAAAAAGAAAAGGTGTCATAAGAAAAAAGAGTAGACCTAAGATTGTGTATAAATATCGGAAACAATTTGTTGATTAGTTGTAAGAAAATATAATATATTTAGTTCATTGTAATAAATAAGACTTTTATCAAAAATTTGTTTTTATTTTGCAAAAAACCTTTATGTGATGGGATGTAACAGAAGTTATTTTTAGAATCTGCAATCTTTAAAACATATAATTCAGCAAAAATATTCCATGCAGCTGGAAAAAAAATTTTTTTTGCAGAACTGTGTAATTAGATAAGTAGTTCTAATAATTTTTATGATAATTTAATGAACTAATATTAGAAAACATTGACATTAAAAAGATTATCATAATTGCTCCACTTTTACTTTCTTACTTGTAAATAAAAGTATTTGTCAAAGTTACTCTAAAAATTTTATTCATTTTTAATTAACAGGTAGTCAAGAAAAAGATATTGATGATTCTGGAAATAGAAAAACTCTTTGTGGTGAAATCAGTCATGGTGGAGAAAATGGAACATTATCTCCTGAACATGGTCAAATTAATGCAGGAAGATCGTGTATTTGGGAAATTAATTGTGAAGCTATACCTTCTACTAAAGAAATATTCCTATCATTTGAAGAGTTTGACTTAGCAGATAATGACAGTTTTACAATTTTGGATATAACTGGGAAAATTATATTTGGCCCATATAGTGGGGAAAAAGGTATTAATTTTTATTGGAGAGATTTTCATTAATGATTTTACTAGTGCTTCTTCTTTAAATAGACTGTTGATATTTGTTTCATTTGATAAACTTTCTTCAATTTGATATTATAAAAATAAAAATACAACAAAATCCTAAAAGTATTAAAATTTTGAATTTTTTTTTAGAACATAGAGGAAATTTATATTTATTGATAGAATACATCAAATATATATTAAATAATAATAAAATGCAGTCACATTTTATTATTCATCATTACATGATTGATTATGTTTTGCTCATTTAATTTAATTTTAAATAGTCTTATTTGTATAATATGAAAATGTTTAAGTGAAATTACATCAGCTTAGATTCAATAAATATGTACTATATAATACTGGATTGATTAAATCCAATGCACATGAATAAATCAAAAGTATCCAGCTGAAATGATATATACTAAAAAGCTAATAAAAAAAACAAATGTTTTTGGCCATTTTTAAACTCTCATCTTCAGGTTAATGCCAGTCAAACATCAGTGTGAAAATGACTGGCTTTAACCTGAAGATGATGGTTTAAAAATCATTGAAAAATTGTTTTTATTATTAAAATATAAATTTTCGTCTATAATAATGTATTTTCTATTACCAGGACTTATTATACTGGCACTACAGAAATATTACAAAGTTTTACAGAAAAACATTTTTTATTTTACTAAAATGTTTTTCTGTAAAACTTTGTAATATTTCTGTAGTGCCAGTATAATAAGTCCTGGTAATAGAAAATACGTTATTATAGACAAAAATTTATATTTTAGAAAAAAAAGGACATTGAGGCATTTTAATTAAACAATGTTTTTATTATTTTTCTAATATCTATAATTTCAGCTGGATATTTTTGATTTATTTATGTGTGTTGGACATACACCAGATTCCCTTTTTAAACATGAGATCAACCAAAATTTCCTTAATCTGAAACAAAATTGACCAAAGAAAGTTGTTTGACTGTTTTGCTACAAATTTCCCTTTGTGAAGTACATAGTTGATGATTGTTAGCTGACGAAGGCAAATTCACATCAAATACACATTAAAAGAACCACACACAGCAGATGATGGAACAAAGTATTTATTTTTGCAGAAAAAATACAAGTTCTTAAGGATCCCAACTCAATAACAATGAACAGTAACACAGTGTCACCAAATATTATCAGCGGGCAAATGACAAAAATATCGCAACATGTACAGGAAACCAAGCTTGGGTAATGCACCAACTAATATTTAAAACTAACTTATACTAAAGAAGAGGGAAGTCAGAAAGGGAAGGTAATAAACAGCAAGATAGATAACAGAAAAGAATAAAATACCCAGGATGTATGAATGTTATACACTTTTTGTGGGAGGCCACATGGAACCCGCTTGGACCAATTTCCAGTCATCATCATCTTTTTTTTTCTTTTTGTTTGAGGCTTGCTGTATTGACACTTCAGTAAGTTTATTAATCCTTCTCAGGCTAGTTTTGTTTCACTGGACTTGCTGATCTCAGTGACATGAAGCACTATCTTCTCCATTCTTACTTTATGGGGGTCAGCCAAAGATGACTTACTTGGTCCAAAACATGCCCTCAGGTGGCCTTTTCCCTCTTTGTTTCACATGGTTCCACAAATTGGCTCTTACCACCCAAGGGAATAGAGCAAGAATAGAAAGTTCTAGAAGTAAGAAGGAATAAACAAAGGAAATATGCTAAAACTATGACTATGCGAAAATTATACAATGAAATAGTGTTACTAGAATAATAATTGCTCTCAAATAGTAGTTGTGTCTCTCCTTAAAGCTTAAATTAATTAGTCTTTGAATAGTATACGTGGGTCCATACACGGATTTCCATAAACGGGTACCATACACACACATTTATTTAACAAAAAAATTTTAATAGAAAAGAATCTGTAAAATATACAATGTACTGTACATTAGGTATATTTTTTATTACCCTTATACAGAAAGTAATGCTTGTTATAAAGATATTAGCTGCTATTTCAATATAATCTATACTAATATTATAAAGAGGTAAAGTTTGTAAGTTTGGATGTAGGAGGTAATCTCCAAAACTACTCATCCAATTTCAAAAATTCTTTCACCAATATTTAGAATGGAACTTCAGGCTAGACATAGGCTGTATATTATTCCATTAAACATTCATATAAATTAAAAGATATTATCTAGAATTAAGGCTTTTATGTCTAACAGATGGTGCTAACTCCACGAGTATGACGACCTAAGTTTGCTTTTCTGTGAGGATGAACTAAAAATGAACCCAGATCATCATCTGTCTAACTATATAAATAAAAATGTAATGTTTGTTTGTTTCTACCGATTCCTTTGAAATTTTGACACAACGTTGCATTCGAATACGCACGTGTTTTTATATAATATACATGTCGAAATTCCTCCCACTGGGGTGAGAGATGGACAGGATTAAGGCTTACCGTGAAGAACTCTGCTTCTATTTATACTATTTTAGATGTGGTTTTTTGCATTTTTGATTGTGTTTTAATAGGGTATGTCAACAGAATATACACTAAAAAGGGATTTTTCGAAACCCCCATGGGGGAAGTATTATATGTTTATAATAGATAAATTTTGAGCCACAACGTGTGGTGGGGTCTGCTAGTGTGTTATAAAAATCAAATGTATGTAAATAAATAAGTACTTTATTAATAACAGATGTTGAATTGATATGTATAAAGGAAATAATAACTGCTTTTGAATGGTAACAACAGAGAAAATATGCAATTTTAAATAGTAGCCATTATTCAAATAATGGCTACTATTTAAAATTGCATATTTTCTCTGATTTGAAATGGCTATTATTGTAAAGTATTAAGTTATTTTTACGTCTTTCATAATGATTAGTGACACAACTTTATGCCGGAAATAACCGTTACGTAACGGCTACTTTATGCGGATTCACGTTAATGTGCTATGCCTGGACTTTAAGCGTGCACCAAATTAAATAATGACAAAGTTAGTCAAAATCAAAGTCAATATTTAATAATTCTAATAACAACTATGTACAAAAATTTAGTAACAATCAACAACAAATTTATTCAAAGAAAAAATCAATAAGAATCAACCCGACAGAACTCAAGTCAATCTATTTGCTAACTTAAATCTATTCCCCTTTGGAACTCGACAAAAAATTCAAAGACTTAACTTATGTACAACAATTCTTGTGAACTAAGGTCCTAATAGTCACCTCAATATACTAGGAACCTTTTTCTTCAACTCTCAAGACACTCTCTAATCTTCGATCCACAAATCGAATAACTTCAAAATCGCCTTGGAACCACTTTATCGCTATCGGACACCTCTTGTTGTTTGCTGCTACGAAGCTCACCTCGGTCATCTTCATTTGAGGTTCGGACTTTATACTGTGAGGTGGTCACAATTCTGAGTGAGATCACTTCCCCCTCATTTACATACTTATCGCTAACAGTCAACTTTTCCTTTCTGCCTGGCAGCCTATTTCCCAATAATACTTGCTAACCTTTTACATTATTCTTTTTTACAATTTCAGGATGTTTTATTCTTTAAGGTTTAGCAAGTTCCTAAGTTGTGCTTGTTGGGTCTTTCCCCTCTTTCTCAGTGTGGACTTACTTTTTTCCACTTGGGAGCGCAAGTGTGCATGAGTTTTTTATATGATGCTTTTTCTCGTTGGTGAGTTGGTTCTCTTTCTTCTATTTTTAAATTTCTAAGGTGATTGGTGAGGAAACCTTCGTCCTAACAAAACATAAGCCCCAAACAAAAATAGAATAAAAAGCAAAATAAAAAATAACTAAAAATAACGCTCGGACTTGGTTCCTTACATTATTTGAATAAAACCAGTCAGTAACTTACTTAATAAATTTTGGAACAAAATTCAAAAATACAGTCAAACCTGTGCATAATGGAATTTCATCAATTACATTATGAATAGGATTATTGGGATCAAACAATTTTTCAAAGGTTTTTGCTATATACAGGTTATCTACTACAGATATCTGTTGATTAATATGGTTAATTAATCCCTTGATGCTACCAAGTATATTGACATTGCATTAATCAAATACAGTGGTACCTTGGTACTTAACCAAACAATTTCCAGCCATAGAACAAATTTTCAGTTAATAACAAAAATGTTTATTTTAATTAATTAAAATGTCTCAATGCCCTTTTTCTTATGAAAATTCATATTTTATGTTTATTTTAACTTTAATTTTATCATCTGTAAAAAGTTTTTCATGATAAAAATGAGTTTAAAAATAAAATGAAACCTTATAGCCTACCTTTGTCCAACAAAATTTTACTAGATTCAGTTTTTTCTCACTTAATTAATGCATGTGGAACACAATCGTCATATTTTACAACCATTTGAAATGGATGAAGTGTTTCAACAATATGTGTCTGTGAGACACTAAGCTTTGTTGCAAGTGCATGAGTTGTTGTTCATTGATTTTTAACAATTTCTTCCTACAGTTTCTCTTTATCAACAATTTTTGGGTGTCCTGCACATTTTGTATAGAAATAGTTAAATAAATAAAACTCATGTCAAAATTGTATAGCTTCTTGATAACTGAGTTCAGCGTTAACATAATTTTCTTATTTTGTATCCTTTAGTTCAGAATTTTTTAACAAATCTTTCAATCCATATTTGACATGTTTGAAGTTTAGGAGCATCTTCCCGATATAAACTAAAAGTATATTTTACTGTTTGTATACCATTGTATACTTTCCAAAACTTAAGCTTAATATGCCCGATATATATTTTATCTGAAGACATTTGACTTAATTTTATTCAAACAAAATGTGATGTAAAAAGTTTAAAATAAGCTTCTAAACAAAGAACACAATCTCACATTAGCAACAATCTGTTAAATTTCACAACTGTTATAATTAAATTATGTATCTATGTTAAGTAAAGACAAAAAACTTCTGTTGAGCATGAAAAAAGATAGCGAAGTTTTTGTTATAGGGCCTGATTTTTCT